GAGTCGTTGGGCCTTGTCTTCTATGCCACGAGCGTGCATAGAGGTTGGGAGAGACCCTTAGAAGTGGTGAGTGTGACTTTCTAAGCGTAGGCACCGGAAGGGGAGATACTTTTCTGTCCACGCTTTTTCTGCCCAGGTTATCGTGATGATGGTTATCTTTTGCCTTCCACTCTATGATGGATTATTCAAGGACAATGAGGGGTGAAACACGGTGATAAATGAGTCATGGGATGATGTTCTAATAGAGTATGTGGATGTTATAAGACACCAACAATATCACAACTAGAAAATGAAAACATCGATGGCTTATGTGAGATTCGTAATCAAAACTTTCAGTTTCCCGCACTTGGGCGCTGCTACAAGCCCGTGCGCCACCGAGACCTGCACGTTCATTATACGAACAAAAAGGTTAAGTACTCCTTATTTGCAGATTTCGTTACTGCTTCCTATTATTTTGTTGAATTTCAAAATTGATTTTTTTTGTTTTCTGCTAATTTCTTTCTTTGTGTTCTGCTTTCTTTCTTTCTGCATTATTTGTTTGTTTATTGATTAATGTTTACTTTTGGCGACCTCTATCTCGCGTGTATTGTGTGCGTTGACGAGTGTGTACGGCGCACAAGGGGGGTGCGTGTTGCAGCAGCGCAGCGTGCCCTCGGGCGGTGGGTTCGAGAACTATCGGCCCCGCTTCCCTCGCGCCGCTCTCCCCAGCTCGTCTGCGCGTGCGCCGGGCACATACGGCTGCACTGGACCGACACACGCCCCTCACACAATTAAGTGGTACAGCATCCAAATGAATTTCACTGCGTTTGAATTGCAAATATTAATTGATGTCTTTTATATTATTTAAATGAACTAACTCGTAATATATTTCTATTGATACGTTACTAATTGATCACATGAAAATTGATACATTTCGACTGCATTTCCTCGTCTTTAATCTACCATATATTCTGGTTTCGCATTTATAATGTAACTAACATGAATACGTTTCTACATATATTGACGCATGTGTACATTGTTAATTGTAACACATGGTACGATATTTCATTGAAGCAAAAGGAATAACTGGCAAACATTGAAAATAAAAATGTCAAGCTTTCTCTTTTTTGTATCAAATATACATTGATGAGTGATATTCTGTTAAGCACGTTAAGCGTATCAAAAAAAAGTATTATATATGAACATCTTTGACAGTATTTTCTTTCGCAAACGACAGTCTTGTGGCTCGAATACCTGAGGGGCAGCGTATGTAAGATTGGCAGCATTGTGTGTCACTGACCTGAGGGCGTCCGCCCAGGTGATTTATTGCGGCCGAGCGGCCGCCGCCCCGAACGGGGCGAGCGCCGTGCGTGAGGGGTCCCCTCCCGAAATCGCGTGGCGAACGCGCCCCGCTCGCCGCGGGCCCTGGGTTCGAGGCGTGGCGCGCCCCACGAGGGCTCCGTCGCGTCCCGCGAGCGCGCCGCGCCGGGCGGCGCGCGGGCCCTCCCGCGTATCGATTATGTACGCTCGCTGCAGGGCCTCGCGCCCATCGGCGTGACGTCATGGACCAGCCAGGGATGCTGGGCCGGCGGATTCCTGCGAGCGCCGCCGGTTTCTCGGTCGGTGTTCGCGACGCGACTCACCCGCGCGGCTTGGCGCGACCGCTGCCGCCGCCGCCGCCGCCTTCGCCTCGGCCTGCGCTGCGCTAGCGCCTCCGCCGCCCCCGCGCGCCCCCGCCCCCGCCCGCCCCGCGCCCGGCGCCGAGGGAGCCGCGCGCATGCAGTGCGTGAGGGTCAGCAAGTGGCGGGCCGCTCCGCCGCTGCCCCCAGCCCCTCCGGGCGTTCGGCGCGCAACACGCGCTCGCCGACGTCGCGCGGCCGGCGCTGCGACGGCGGCAGGCGGCGGCGCTGTGGCTAGTCGGTGAGTTGTGGTAGTGTAGTGGCGGGCGGCGTGCCGCGGGGGTGTTTGACGGAGACCGACTTGACACCATTCGCGACCGGGGCGGCGGGGCGCAGACCAGGGGGCGCGGGGCGGGGAGTGCTCGGCGCACCGGCCTGCGGGGGTCGCTTCGTTCGTACACCGGCAGCCGCCAGGCCGCCCTCCCCGGCCCACGCGTGGCCGCGCAACCGCCCTGCGACGCCCTTGCGGCGTGGCCCAGGGGCGTGTGCTGGCGGGCCGCCCCGCCTCCGCCGCTCCTACGCTCGTCACCGCCGGCCGTTCACTGCCCGGGTCCGCCCGCCCCGCCGCCCGCCGCCCCCCGCTCGCGCGCTTTTGTGGGCGCTGCTGCGACTGCGGATCGCGCCTGCGCCCGCGCCAGAGGCGCAACCGCCCCCGCCCCCGCCCCGCCACCAGCGCAGCAGCACCAGCGTTTTCGCACCCAAAATATTTTTGTCGATGTCGCCGCGCGGTCCGACCCCAACTATGCGGCCGGGTCGGGGCCCGGCTTCGTGAACTTGCGAGAGGTAATTGGGCCGAATCGGTGCCCTTTAAAACGTCTTCGTTAGCATTGCTTGTGATTTCCGTCACCTGGCGGTATTTCAGCTGCGGGAAAGTAGATTCGTGAAACTCGCGTCTGTCTTCTCCCACTCCGTCTCCACTTTCGGTGTTAGAGTACTTACGTGTTTCTTTTTTCGTTCATTCACGAATAGGGTGAATTTGTTATTGTGCATTATTTCGTTTACATTTTTTTCACGTGTTCAGTGATGTGACTAATAACCATATGAAAGACCCACATTCTGTTTTCGAGTGTTGAATGATAGTTTTATCAGTGCTTCAGTGAATAAAATGCAAGTGAAGCAGGATCCAAATTGCCTCAACCTGACGGAAAAATTTCATCTCTTCCTACTTCTACTATAAACTTTCTCTGCTTCTCTTCTATCTGCATTCAGCGACTCGACCGGTTGTACACATTGAGGGAATTTACGTATTGGAAAGACAAGTGCTTCTTTGAAAATGAACATAGTAGTTAAATCAGTTCAGTGTGACAGTGCTTGTGGCGGTTAGCATGTTTGGCTGAGTGCTGGGGGTTACTAGTTGAGAGCCGTTTTATTGAGCGCTCAATAACAAGTCCATCTAAGTGGAAGCGTATTCCAAATTACGCGTTTGTCGATTTCGCGGTTTTCCTTCTGCGGTTGATCGCAGGCTG